TTTACACACACACACATGCACACATGCACATGCACACGTATGGACTCTTGGAGGTAGGGTAGAGCCAAGACTTAAGCCTGTTCAAAGGCTTAAAAGGAAGATAATGGCTTCCTCAGCCATCACACATGCTGGCTGACGCAAAATAACGGAAGGGAAATACAAATAGCTGCCCAAAGCTGTTACTCGGGAAGCTTGGAACGCGCTTGCTGAGGTAGTAGCTGGGTGGGTGGGGGAGAGAGGAATGGGGTGAGCCAAGGAAAAGGGGGTGATGGAAGATGGTCAAGGACCAGGCAGGTGCGGATCCACCCTCTCACTGCTTCTGCTCTTCATCAAACCTGAGCTGGACACACGCAGAGACCCAGCCTGCTTCTTCCAGTCTGACATGAGCGCGGCTCTCCTTGCCTAGGCCTGAAAAGGGACCAACTCCTACCGCTGCTGCCCTGAGCCTGTCCGTGGTGGAGGTGCAGAGATGAGCCCCCATTTCCCGGGTCATGGTAGGACCTGAGCGACTCAGACACTCCAGCTAAAGCCCTGCGCTCTAGTGGTCTGCTTCGGAATAGCTACTAAACCAACTACAAGCCCTCTCTGGGACTTGATTTCTCCATATGCAAATCAGAGCTAAGACACAGTGCCTGTCTCACCGGGTGCTGTGAGGACTGAGTGAGGTCAGACAAGGGTTTAGAGCCTGGCTCTATACATGGCAAGAGTTAATAACATTGCAGAGTGAGGGCAGAAGAGAGAAGAGAGGCAGGAGGCTGAGCGCAGCACCGGCTTGGAGCTTCACTGCTCTGTGTGTGTGTGTGTGTGTGTGTGTGTGTGTGTGTGTGTGTGTGTGTGTGTTCATATGCCTCTGTGTGTCTGTATGCTGGTATGTGGCTGTATGCTTGTTTCCGTGTGTGAGGGGCATGCCCACTGATGTATGAACCTCAGTGTGCTCATTTGGTCATGTGCACACGGTAGGGGCAGCCTGCAGACCCTGGGAGTGATCCAGGAGGCTGCTCAGCCAGACTAAACAACCCCATCTTAGCACTCCAGGATTCCTCCTGAATATGTATTCCTCTGTTTTCTGGTTCTCTTAACCCTTTTCTGTTTTTAAGGGGAGCTCAAAGGCAGCCTGGTCTAGGTCCCCCTGGTTCTTTCTTCTTTCCTGCACACACCGGTTCATTCCCTCTCAAAGTCTCCGTTCCCCAAGTGTGTCCCACTTAGTATTCTTCAGGTGTGAAGCCACCCCACTGTCTTTGCCTCACCACTGGCTGCACCTATCCTATGATCCTGGAGTGAACCCCTCCAAAACCTAGTCTGGCATTGTTCATGGCAACGTCTAAGATGTGCCCTGGGGCAAGGCACCTGGAGCCGCTGGCCAGTGAGCGAACTGACTATGTGGACCGTAACCTGAAGCAGCAGGGAGGCTTCATCTGAGATACAAGCCAGGCCTCCATCATCTGAGTACTTACTGTGTGCCAGGAACTTGAGCTGATGGAGTCCAATAGACACCATGAAGGGGGCACTGCTCCTGCATCTGCTTCATATGAGGAAATGGGACCCAGCAGAGTTCAATGGTCTGCTATAAGTTACGGAGCCACAGGTTAGGACTAGAGCCCAGTCTGGGGTCTGCTGGTCCTAGACCTCAGGGCCCCACACTCGGTGTCTTGACTTCTCTGTCACAGGATGGTGACACCCCTCCCTCAGTCAGCAGAGTTATGGAACTATCATGTCCTTCGTGCCCGCTGAGTGTGTACGTATCAGTCTGCTCTGGTTACTGTGTCAGTTTCTGGTGACCCATCTTACAGATCAGGAAAGTAGAACCCGGATGCTCACAAGGATCTAGCGACCCCAGCAGGAGCTACAGGAACGATCTATGCAGGCTGCCTGGCTTGATCCTTTGTTTCTTAGCCCAATTGTAGCCCTCAGTTTCCCCTTGCCTGAAGCAGACACTGTCACTAACAGCTTGGGTGCAACACGACAGATAAACTGCTTCGTCTACTTCCACTCTGCTTCTAACAATCCCTGAAAAAGGATTCAAGGAAACCCAAAGGAGGCCGCGAGCCCAGGCATGGCTGTGACGAGGAGCTCAGTGGAGCGCTAATCCTATGCCTCTGTCACTGACCGCCGTAACAGAAGCAGGTCTGTTCTCTAAATGAGGACATTTCTTGGGGGAAAAGCTGGTCTTGCAGCTCACATCCTGCCCGCTGAGCAGAGCCTCAGTCAAGCTGATCCCCATGACTCCCAGGAGCGGCCCAGGGCAGGTCTACGTGGTCTTGGCTGTGGAGTACCTGTGAGGATTCAGCAGGCCTCACAAGGCCACCGCAGGCCCGTCAGATGTGGTGAGTTCCACAGGCAGAAACTATGCCCCTGCACCTAGCCAGTTGCTTCTTCAGAGTTTGACAAAGCTACCACCAGCACCAAAGAAACCTGGACAATCAGAAGATGGATGGCTCCAGTCGGCCAGTCTCCCTGAGGGAAGCACCCTTCTAGAGAAACAAGAACATTCAAGAAGTACTTTCCGTTACAGTGTATTCAGTCCAACCAAAGACAAGGATTCCTTGGGTTACAGAAGAGAAAGAGAATGTAAGGGGCAAGTTCATGGTCATGCAACATATTAGTGATGAATGTATAAGGAATCCAGCCTTCAGCTCCTTCCACCTGCTGCATTCGCAAGAAAAGGTCATGAATTTCTCCCTAACCAAGGATGCTCTCCACCACTGTGTGCCAAAGTCCGGTGCCCTCTGCTTGGTATGGGATGAGACAAGAAAGAATGGTCAGAGAAGATGCAGTACCATAACAGCAGAACAAGTCTTTCCCAAGAGCTGATAATAAGAAAGTGCCCAGTGAAGCTCTGTGTATGAGCACTGACGAAGCTACAGCAGCAACCACAGTGAACTCATGCAAGAGGGGCATGTCCTTAACAGTGCCATCTTGGACCAGCTCAGCCTGAAGAAGTGGCTAAGATGCTGCTAAGGCCCCCCCCAAACCACTGCAAGTCCCCCCAGCACTCCCTACCTGGGGTAAGTCCTGGCCCAGCATCCAAATCACAGCCAAGTAGCCGGGAGCTAGTACTGAATGGCAGGAAAGGCGTGAGCCACAGTGGCCTCAGGACAGCCTCCACCCGGCCCTCTCAGCCATTCAAAGGAAGGCTGTGACCAGAGGAAGCACTTGAAATGCCACTCAGGGGACACACTTTTTCCCAAGACCCTGCCTTTGACCTTGGACACCAAACCCACATTAAGAATGAGCTGATCTTTTCCCCTCTGCCCATGCTGACTCTTGCTTTCTCAAACAGCATCCATCACACATACACACACACACACACAAACGAGGTAGCAACTGGGTTTTCTCCTCTGAACTCCCAGAACTGTAGTACTGTTAATTTGCAGGACCAAAAGATGCTCTCCACAGCAGATCACATCTGGCACTCAACAGCTAGAATTAGATTCTTTTTGTATGTGTAAGACAGGGCCTCATGTATCCCATACTGGCCTGAAGCGAGATATATTGGAGGATGACCTCCACCTCCTGGCCACTGGGATTACAGGCACACACCACCAATCCTGGTTTATGTGGTAATGAGGCTCAAACCCAGGGTTTTATACACGTAGGCAAGCACTCTTTTAACTGAGTTACATACCTAGCCCAAGAAACAACACTCCTGAGAGCAATTTCAGTGCTATGAGCATAAAAGGAGGCACTGCCCAAAAGGACAGGACTTAAAGGATTTTCTACTGAGTCCCAGTTCCCATTTATTTTAGAAGAGTAAATCTCCTCACAGCTTTGAGATGCTGCTTGTTTATTCTTCCCAGTATAAGCAAGACAAACACACACTCCTTGTTCAGAGGAAAACCGGCTGTGCACAGGGCACTGTGACATGAGCTGCCAGTGGTAGGCATGCTGGGCTTTGGAAGCACCGCCCTGACCCAGCCATGTCAATGTAGGCAAGAAGACGAGGCCAGGTGATGGGCGGGGCCCTGTGCAGCAAAGCCTGGCAGGGCCACCGCCTGAATAGAAAGCTAGTTCCCTGCATGGCTGATGCTTCAGGGAGAAATGGCCTTGGACTCGGGTTACCTGGCTCTCAGAAATGATCCCACTGGCCAAAGAATGGAGAAGGGAGGCCCTGCCTTTCCTGAGGCCTAAGTCCTTATCCCTGCCAACCAATGCTGCCTGCCTGAGTCTGCACAGCCCATCCCCCAGTCCTCCCGGTGGCCAAGGACAAGCTGCCCCCTGACTCAAGCTTGGTGTCCTTACCTTCCGGGGCTAGGTTGACAGTGTCAAGCTCCTAAAGGTGAGGGAACACTATGAAGAACAGGAAACAGATGGGAAAGGGGGCTGCTCTTTCCCTCCCTGTCTTCTGCAGTTTCATCTGGGGAATGAGAAGAGGCTCCACAAGTAAGAGAAGGATGAGATGTAGCTGCAGGAAATGCATAAAAGACAGCAGTGAGCAGGATGGAGCCTGGTAGAGTACAGAGCCCCCCTGGGCCAGGAGGGAGGCTGTGTGAGTCCTGTGAGTCGACACACTTCACCTTGGAGATGGGCACACACCCCTTCATGCATGCACATCACACACACACACACACACACACACACACACACACACACACACACAGAACCTTACATCCTCTAGCACTCTGATAGCCCCCAACACACACACACACACACACACACACACACACACACGCATGCACGCACGCACACGCATGCACACACATGCCTTCCTGCCTAGCCCTTCACCTACCCTGAAGCACATTGCAGACCAGCCTACATCTTTTCTCTCCCAGTCCCAAGCCTCAGGCCAGGCAGTGTCCTTGTCCCGATGCATGGGAGGCACATGTGGTTTCAGTTAGCTGCAGAGCGGGCATTTCCGTCCCAGACAGTGGGACCCTGCCAGGGCCCCAGCTCCATAGGAGCCCACAAGAAGGGCCATCTCAGCTCCCACTCCCCATTGGACATCCCAGGGCCCTTTCCCCTCTGGAAAACTCGACAGTCCTTGCCCACTATCACCCCCTCACCTGGAACTGGACTTTGCACACACTGGAGAGGAAGCCGGCTGTGCCCGGCCTCTGTCCACAGCAGCTCGCTGCCCACCGCCTGCCTGCCTGCCTCCTCTCTCTGCTGTCTCTAGCAGGCTGAACGGGATGGGAGGAGGGCAGGGTGTCAGGGGGCGGGCAGGAGGGAGGGGAGGGGGCGTGTGGAAATGAAACTTTAATAACAGAGCCCCTTTTGTTTCCGAGCATATGGGATATTTCATACATACTGAAGACATTAGCCGTCTATATTTTTAAGGGCTCAGGCGAAAGGATGAATAAATACAGCCCATGTTCTACTCAACAAACACACATGCAGAGTGCTGACTTCTGGGGCATTTCAAACCCCAAAGAAACAGCCCCAGTGACACCAGACACTTCAGAATAAACATATTTCCAAGCCTTTGGGCTTGCCTGGCCCCCTCTTACAGCCACCTGAAGCCTTGAGGCACCTTTTCCCCAGCACCACCTACCCTTGTGCCTCCATACTTCCTATTCTATAGGGGGAGGCGAGTCTCTGGAATTCAGCCCCATCCTACCCCCTTTCCCAGGACCCCCAGCCCCCAACCAGATCTCAAGTGTCAGAGTTCCAAAAGAACTTGGAAATCTCTGCCTTCCTCACTGTACAAACCGGGACCAAGGCCCAGAAATGGGCAGGGACTTGCCTGGGGTCACAGAGCAAAGACATCAGGATCCTGGGCCAAGGGGCAGTGTCGCTTCCTTCAACAGGCGGGATGCCCTATTTCCTCACCTCAGGGATAAAGGTGGGGAGACCCCAGGACCCGGAGGCAGGGCCAGCAGGGTGTGTACTGGGAGTGTGCCCGCCTCTTTTTCCCACTGGAACGCTGCTCTGAGCACTGCCCCCCAATTCTGGGCACCCATCCAAGGGCACCGTCAGCAACGCTAGGAACAGGGCCCGCCCCAGGAAATCCCCTTCAGGCCAGCAGATCCCAACAGGCCTGGAGGCTTCAGGTGCGAGAAAGTTTCCCTCCGTGGAAGCTCAGCTCACACTCCTCACGTAACTTCTTTCTGTCCTCCAGAAGAGAAACGGGCCCAGAGAGGGGCAGGCCTTGAAGGAGGTAAAGCAATATGGTGGCTAGGAAATAGACGCTTGACTTCTGGAGCCTGTGTTTGCTGCACGACTGTGTGACTGAATAGGCCTTCAGCCCCCTTCAGGCAGGCCCTTGCACGGTGCCACAGGGAGCCCCCAGTGTCAGTTGCCCCATCCCTGTTCGAGCCCACTCTCTTCTTGCCAGCCATCTACTCAGTTAGCATAGGGCACGACACTAAGAGCCCATAATGAACATTATGAGGTTGCCTGAATCCTTCAGCGGGCTCCAACCATAGCCACGCCTCTGCAGCAGTCATACACACTCAGTACAAGAGGGAGTCTCAGCCTCCATTTGCTCAAAGACCCTCCAAGACAAGTTTTGCAGTAGACTCCACTATCCATGTTTGTTGGTAGTCACTCAGGCTCAGGGATTCTGCGCCTTCCCTGGGTCACATGGGTGGTCAGTGCAAGCCCGGGTCTTGAATCAGAGTCCCTTGACTCCAGACCTGATTACTGTGACCCTGTCGTCACTCGTGCATTACTTATCCCCAGCTCTGGTCCTGGGACTGCAGAACTATCACCACACTAATGAGAACCTCTTTATTTAATAAAGTCTGTTGCAGGCCTGCCTGCCTGCCTAACCCATTGTTAGGGAGCACCCCTAAGGTGTCTGTGGAAAAATGGCACTGGCCTGAGAGTAGAAGATAGGACCTTTTAGCCTCATCCTGCCATCCGTGGCCTGCAAGGGTCCCTCTGAGGACATGTTCCTCATGGACAAAGTAGATGGAGCCACCTCACTGAGTGACAAAGATGGTATGATAGCGGGTGAGAGGGAAAAAATTCCAGGTTTCCCTCTCTGGAATTTCATGCTGAGCCTGGATCCTGGCATTAAGTTCTGTCTGGATTCCAACAGGCCCTAACTGGTCTCTCTGCACCTGGGAGGTCCTACTGTAACCTTCAGTCATCCCAGAGGCGGTCCTACTGAAGGAGTTGGTCCACCTCTGGACCCTAGCAGTGAGCAGACAGCAGCTCCCATCACCCAGATGGACGAATGTGCTGGGGGAGGCGCATGTGAGACTCCACGCGGTTTTCTCCTTTTTTCCCATGTTGGCTGCGCCTTTGGTCTCCAGGATGTTAGGCATCCCACTAGCCCTTCCTCTGCTGTTGACAGCTTTCTGGTGAGAGGCGTACACCAGCGCTGGACACAGGCGCAGAACTCTGTTGGAGCTCAGGGCCGTTTCGAAGGAGGTTTCTTGTGAGTCCTGTGCTGTGTTCTGCATTAGGATATTTTCTAGGTGAGGAGCAATTGTCTTGTGAGTCCTGTGCTGTGTTCTGCATTAGGATGTTTTCTAGGTGAGGAGCAATTCTCTTGATTATAGTCATTTCACACCATAATAATAATCCTGCCATGAGCAGAGCACCGACTGCTGGCACTGTGGGGAGCGTTTTGTAAGGCTGTCCCTTTCCTGGCAATTTTTTGCAAGCCTAATGGCCCCAGCTTGTCCCTTTCAGGGCAAGTGAGCAAGCATAGCCACCAGCTTCGGCTCTTCACTGCTACACCACTGACTTGAGGGCCAGCTTCCTCTGGCTCCTTCCTGGGGAGGGAGGTGTGGCCTCAGACTTTTCTTTCCCTAGGCAGCAGACGTGAACACGGGACTCTGATCTGAATTGGCATCGTGGGCACATGCCTAGCTCTCCACTTGACTTGTGTTGAGTAGCTCCTCAGGGGCAACGCAGAGTTCAGTCAGTGTGGCCCATGCGGAACGCATGCTTGGGGCCTAGCTCACCCAGAGGGCTGTGACCTTCACAGGCATGATGCTGTTACTGATGAGCATGCATGAGTTTACCTGCTGCTTCTTTCTGTCTTTTTAAACACTTTTTTTAAAAAAAGATTTATTTTATGTCTATGAGTACTCTATCTGCATGTACAACTTTATGTCAGAAGAGGGCATCTGATCCCACCATAGATGGTTGTGAGCCACCATGTGGTTGCTGGGAATAGAACTCAGGACCTCTGGAAGAGTAGCTGGTGCTCTTAACCTCTGAGGTGTTTCTCTCCAGAAACACCTGCTGTTTCTTATCCAAGCCTGTTTATCTTTCCTTAGGCCACCCGGTGATCTCTCACTAGGAGGTCACAGCCATGATGACAAACTCAATGGAGCACCCGATTTGCATGGTACCCTGTGCCCAGACCTCCTGAGTGCAGATCTTGTTGGATGTGTTGGTAGAGGTGGAGAAAGGGGGTGGGGAGTAGGATGGCCAGGAAAATAGCCTTGAGCCATAGGCTCCTAACAAGGGTCCCCAGCAGAGAGTCTGAGCAATAGGAAGCGCCAGAGACCACGGACCCCACTAAACATGGCAAAAAAAAAAAAAAAAAAAAAAAGACACCGGAAGACGGCAGGACTTATCTTGATTTCCCAAAGAAGACATAGTCTAATGTCCTTAAATCCACACTGTCAAAGCTTTGCAAACACCATCTTAACCATCAAGGTCTCCTAGCAGGGTTCAGGGTGTGAATAGAGACAAGAGAGAATCCCATCTGCACTGGTGTGTGGGAACGATCCACAAGCCAACCTCCATTTCCCTCCAGCCTCTATACTCTTACCCGGTTTGGGGATGGGGTAGACCTTACCGGGTCTTTGTTCTTCACCCAGTGGACATGGCTCTGCACATCTCATCTCCCCAGAGACCTCAAGAGAGCACGAGAGCTGTGAGAGGAGCCAGGCACCCTCACCCCCGCAGAACGGCCTGCATCGGGGGGCCCCCTCTGACACATGAGCTGTCCTGATCGCATCACAGCAATGGAGTTGCTTTGGGGGTAAATTCCATCCAGATGTTTGGAGGGTGGGGTGACTTCCTGAGCAGAGTGGGGTGGTGTGTGCTGATATGTGGGGGCGACGTAGCCAGCTCACCAGTACCCAGGAAGCCCAAAGGAGCACACTGCTTTCTGCAAAAGCCAAAGGAGGGATCTCAAGGCCAGGTTCTCTGTGTCTGACCTTGGTGGGCAGAGGAAACTGGGGCCCAGAGAGGCGAGGGACTGATCCAGGTGACTGGTGGATTTGGTGGGTCAGGATCCCAGATCTCTCTGGCAGGAGCTCTTATGTCTGGGGAGTTTTAGATGGAAGCTTGCTGAGGGAGCCTCCTCCTCCCTGCAAAGTCCCCGAGGAGCCTTGGATTAGGAGGGCAGGAGTGGGGGTCAGGAAGTGGAGACTCTGTGGTTAGGGGAGCTCTAATGACCTCCAGCTTGAACCTCCAAACCAGAGAATGCTCTGCATGCCGTTTGCAGGGGTTATGAGGACAGCATGAGGGAGCAGGCTGCAGGGGTAAGGCTGCAAGTGCCGTGTCCTCCCCCTTTGTCCCCTGCCTTGGCTAGTTAAGGGGAGCCTGTGGCCTCGGCCTCTTTCTTCAGAGGACTCTCTACGTGTCTCTCCTTGGACTTCCGCTGGGCCACATACCTTCCTGACTCCTTTGGGCTGACTTACTGGAAGACAGGAAGAAGCCAGTCAGCTTGGGGGGGCAGGGGGGAGCATGAGAACTTGGAGAGAATGAAAGGAAACAAGGGGGAGTGGGTAAGGGGGAATCGAGAAGGGAATTTTTTGCCTCCTGCCTCATGTTTTGGCTGCCTTAGTGTGAACATGTCTAGGCGCCTTATCGTGAAGGCCTGCACAGCCTGCACAAGAAAGAAAATAGTGTCTGCGGCAGGGGGAAAAATACATCTTGATTAAACATCCCTTTGGAATGGCACTGGGGGTCTCTTATCAGCAGGCAGCTGGGCCCCACATACCTCTGTCTGCCTGCCTGTCCCAAGGCTCCCACCCTCACTCTGCCCCACCCCCAGCCCCTACATCATGTCTCCCCAGCAAGCCGCCTGTGTAGAGACTGTCCGCAAAGCCGAGACCCACCTTCTCATACTACCACTGTCCTTGATGCTATATGACCCAGGCCAAATTCTTTGCTCTGTCTGGGTCTCGGTTTTTCTTCATTAAAAGTCAGGAAGGGAGGGCTGGAGCAGCTGGTGTCTAGAGGCCTTTCCAGCATTAACAC